CTATAAAGACAGGAATGCTGGTTTATCTTCTTTTGTGTCCACATATCTTAGATCATGGGAAGTACTTAAAAGTACTTAAATGTTAGCTTCTGAAGACCCTCCTCCTCCCAGTCACAAGGACCTTGGGAAGAGCAGCAAGCTCTTGCTCTAGTTCCTCATTGTTTATATATGCAGAGAGAAGACAAAGAACAAAACTTTCCATTCTCTTCCAATGCTAGGCACCAAAAGAAAACTTTGGATGCTACAAATTAATTCCAGAATGACTGGAAATTCCAAATATATCTATTACTATTTATATTTGAAACTATAATATCAAAACATCCTGTTTGGTTTTAATTTAAATAAAAATTAATTAAAAATCTTATTTATTTTACATACAAATCCCAGGTCCCTCTCCCTCCTGTCTTCCCATTTTTCCCATCATCCCCCAATCCGACCCTGTATCCACTCTCCAGGGTGGGTGAAGCTTCTGATGGGGGATCATCAAAGTCTGTCATATCATTTGAGAAAGGACCTATGCACTCCCCTGTGTACCTAGGCTGAGAGAGTATCCCTCCATAGGGAATGGGCTTCCAAAGCCCATTTGTGCACTAAGGATAAATACTGGTTCCACTGCCAGCAGCCCCATAGACTGCCCAGGACCCCCAACTGACACTCACGTTCAGGGGGCCTGGTTTGGTCCTATGCTTGTTCCCCAGTTGTCAGACTGGGGTCCATGAACTCCCACTTGCTCAGATCACCTAAAACATCCTGTTTTAAAAGTAAAAACTAGATTAAAAAATACTGTTGGTCTCTAAAGAGGAGTGGGTGCCTTTTTGTGTATGGTGCTGCAAGTACTGCTACAGGAAGCTGAGTGGAGATCCTGGGATAGCTGGGGAAACCACAACATGAATGCAGTGACCTACGACAATGTGCATGTTGACTTCAGGCTTTGCTGGATCCTTCCCAGAAGAATCTCTATAAAGATGTGATGCTGGAAACTACAGGAACCTTACTGCTATAGGCATGAAAGAAGTCATGGTAGAGAAAAACATTCTCAAAGTCTTAAAGCCTATGCATATCATAATCATCTTCAAAGGTATGAAAGACTCTATACTGGAGAGAAACCGTAGGAATGTAATCAATGTGGTAAAGCCTTTACAGGGGACAGTAGTCTCCAAACACATAAAAGAATACATACTGGAGACAAACCCTATGAATGTAATCAATGGGGAAAGGCCTATGCATATAATATAAGTCTTCTAATGCATAAAATAACCCATACAGGAGTGAAACCCTATGAATGTAATCCATGTGGCAAAGTGATTTCATAACAGTCCTCTCCAATTCACCAAAGAACCCACACTGGAGAGAAACCCTATAAATGTATCAGTGTAGTAAAACCTTTTCACAGGACAGTAGTCTCCTAACACATAAAAGAACACATACTGGCCTCAAACTCAGAAAACTGCCTCTGCCTCCCAAGTTCTGGGACTAAAGGCCTGTGCCACCACACCCACAGTTAGTGTTCTTTATAACTTTTTATAACTCAAATATTTTGTAAGTAACGAAGGGAATAATAGCACACAGAAAAGGTATTACTGCCTAAAAATCATCATCCTCAACAACATCATCATAATCATACGCAGAATAACTGTTAATAGTGCATATGTTGGGCTACCATGACAGCTCAGGTTAAGCGCACTTCTTGTTCTTCCAGAGGACTGGAGTTCTATTTCTAGCCCCCAACCCTGGAGGCTCTCAACCACTGGTAACTGCAGCTCCTAGACATAACAATTTCTCCTGCTCTCCACGGCACTTGCATATGCATATACATATATACACATAATTTAAATAAAAATATATATATATTCTGAGACAGGGTTTTCTTTGCAGACCTTGCTGTCCTCCAACTCAGATGTCCACCTGCCTCTGTCTCCAGAGTGCTGTGATCAAAGGCTTGAACCATCACTGCCTGGCTAAATTCTCTTAAGTGCATTTGCTTTCCTGTTGATTACCAAGAAATCCCCAAATTAAGTAACTACAGTAAAGCTCCAGAGTTCAATGGTTAAGTGTCTTTGGCTAGACTGGAGTTCAAAGTCACACTTCCTCTAAGACACCTACTTTAATAACTTGTCCATCAGTGTGGTCTGGTAGCTCAAGATTGAACTGCTTGTAACTCTGGGACCCAGGAAGCTAATGCAGGGAGACAGCCAGAGTTTGAGGCCAGTCTAGACAACATATACTCTTTCTGGAAAAAAACAAAAAAAAAACAAAAAACAAAATGGGAGACACGGTGGCACACACTTGTCACCCAGCACATAGGAGGTAAAGATGGGATAATCAAGACTGCAAGGTCCTCTTGTGCTACATAGACAGCTCAAGATGAGTGTGCACTACATGCAATCTTGTGTAAGGAAGAAAGGAGCCCATAGACGTACACAAAAGCTACACACCAAAACAGAACAAATCAAAAATTTATCAACTTTGATATCTATACTTAGTCACCAGAGCTTAGCAAGCAATAACTAAAAGACTATATAAAAACATTTCAATTTGGGGAATATTTTAAGACTAATAAAAAAAGTTGTGCCGGGCAATGGTGGCACATGCCTTTAATCCCAGCACCTGGAAGGCAGAGGCAGGCAGATCTCTGTGAGTTCAAGGCCAGCCTGGTCTCCAGAGCGAGTGCCAGAACAGGCTGCAAAGCTACACAGAGAAACCCTGTCTTGAAAAAAAAAAGTTGCAAGGTCAACTTTGAACAGCAACAAAAGCAGATGTAAGATACATACATGCTAATATACAGGGAAAACCTCTAAAATGTTGAGAAAAAAATCAATCCCTAACCCTAACAAGTATATAACATGTATCATCCTTTCTCTACAAATTCACTTTAAAATTGGGTGGTGAGGTACCTGTCACAATGATCCAGCTACCCCAGAGTCTGAGACAGTAAAGTAGGTTCCTTATACCCAGGAGTTCCAGACTCCTGACATCATCGCAACAACTAAAAAAATTTTAAAAAACTCAGGTAAGTAGTTTGGATGTCAGTCAAGCAAAGAGTTGAACCCTTACATCCTCCCTTTACTCACAATTGCTTTTTGTCAAAGGCAGATAAATGAGAGAAACATGTTGCACTATTGGTGCCCGTAAAGATGGCAGCACTCCATCTTGGCTCAAGGACAGAGAGTTCAAAACTGTCCTCAGGAATTCATAAGACCTAAAGGTCAAAGGTGTGGCTACAGTACGATGTCTGATCTTGGCCTTGGCTGTCTTATTCTAAATAACAACAGACCTGGTCTGAGGTATGGTTACTCCTGACCCTCAAGGCCAGGTAACGAGGAGTTGAATCTGAGGTGTGGTTACTGAATCCTTGGAGAACTGGGAAGAAAACTCTGTTTGCTCCATGTACATGATACCACGTTCCCCTTTTGACTAAGGTATTTGAGAGTGGTGAAAAAATAAACTCGTGGCTTTCAGTATTAACTGAATCTGCCCTTCTGATTAAAAAAAAAAAAAAACCTCTTATTTCACTACTAATACATTTAAAAAACAATAGTAGGGGCTTGAGAATTGGCTCACTTGGTTAAGAGCACTGCCTGCTTTTGCAGAGGACCCAAGTTTGGTTCTAGCACCCATTGGCAGCTCACAACTGTAACTCCAGTTCTAGGAGCTCTGACACCTTCTAACCTCCATGGGCATCAGACATGGTACACAAGCATCCATTCACTTAAACACTTAAACACATTTTTTAAAAAATCTAAAAACACAACAATAATTCTCCTAAGAATTGTGGATGAAGAACAAAATTGAAAAGGTATCAGGTTTGACTACATATGCTTTTATTGTCATGTCTAGAGAAAAATTCTTTTGTTTTTGAAACACTGCATGACTTAAAGTACATGTTCTTTGATTTCTCAAAGTGTATGAAATGAATATAACTAGAAATGAAAACATTATCCAGTAATGCCCAAAAGCATATTATTTAAATATAAAATATAGCACTAACTCATATCTATGTGGGTTGCATTTAGTCATCTGAGATAGCCACATATGAAGAGAAACTGTGGAATCCCAGACTTAATTTCTATAAAACTATCCAGCATTCGGGAGGCAGAGGCAGGCGGATCTCTGTGAGTTCAGAGGCCAACCTAGTCTACAGACGAGTTCCAGGACAGGCTCCAAAGCTACAGAGAAACCATGTCTTGAAAAAAACTAAAAACAAAAATCTATCAAATGGAGAGCCATACATGGACTCACTTCTCTAATGCTGGAAAAAGCTTAAATTACATAAATGCTATACTCTCTGGCTTGCTTTGGCAGGTATGATTATTTATATATTTAAAGGTGGTATTTTTCCTAAATGTTACCCATTATGAATTTTCCTACTAGAATAGTTAATGAGGGATGTCCTCTGTATGCTGTGATTATGTGTTTTTCTTATTGGTTGATGAATAAAGCTGTTTTGGCCAATGGACAGACAGAATTTAGCAAGGTGGGAATTCCAAACAGAGACAGGAAGAAAAAAGACAGGGAGAGAGATGCCATATAGCCGCCAAGGAGGCAGGACACCAGGGCATCACCTAGGTAAGCCAGTGCTATGTGGTGATACACAGATTAATAGAAATGGGTTAATAATTAAGAGAGAGCTAGCCAGCAAAAAGCCTAAGCCAATGGCCAAATAATTATAAATAAATATTAAGCCTTGGAGGGGTTATTTCATAAGGGCTACAGGGACCCAGTGGACAGAGAGGACCCAGACTAAATGGGGAAAGTCCCCCTTTGCAAGTAGTGTTTCATTTACTCATTCTTTCTTTCTTCTTTTAAAACTAATGTAGTCCAGGATAACCTGGAATTGGCTAACTAAGCAAATATGATCTTGTACTCGTGACTCTCCTGCCTTCATTTTCCAAGTGCTAGGATTATAGGTTCATTTCTTCTCTATAGAGATATTCAATATTAGATAAGAAAAAGAGGAGAGGAAGAATGAGAGAAAAACAAAACAAAGCCACATGTCTTACTTGGATTGTGCAAGGCAGCCTGGTGCAATCACGTTCTGGTTTTCCTCCATGGTCTGGACAGCAGTGAGCTCTACCATGTTGACCATCACATCACTGGTGTGGCCAGGAAGCTGTGGGAGCACTGAAATGATCTTCTCTATTAAGTTGTCTCCATGATGTCCAACTGCTCCTGTTTAACCAACCACACAAGCGAATGTAAACTCAAAGTGGACAGAAAAAATTGATTGGATGCATGTTTTAGAATGTCCCTTCCACCAAAAACAACTGATGATTAATAACACCAACTTAGAATTTTGCTGTTTGTCACATAAGTCATGTTCTCAATTACCTAGACAATGTGTGCCTCATGGACTGAATACAATGTTCATGAAAGCAGGCGTCTCATCTGCTTTGGTTACTACTCTATCTCCAGCACCTACTACAGTGAGCAGACATAGCAGCATTCATAACTATTTGCTAAGGAAATTACCAGCAAGTAGTTACTTGGTTAGCTGTTATAGGTGATACTATCCTGAAATTCTGAAGCTGAATTCTATTTTTATTTTGATGATGAATACACAATGACCAGGAAAAGCTTGAGGATCAAGTAGGAATAAGAGATTTTCCTTCTACTACAACTTTATCTCTGTGATGACAGAGATGCCCTTGCTCTAATTTACCTGGTATTCACCAGCTCTAGCATAGAAAGGCAGCCAGCAGGCTCTCACTAAATATTTGTTGAACAAGAAGAGTAAGTGGACACATAGTAACCGCCCACAACAAAACAACATTCACAAACATTTATTGAATGCCTTCTGTATACCAAGCACTGCTCCAAGATCTGTAGTTATACATATCAACTCCAGGGATAATGGATGAACAATGGGCTGAGGATGCAGCTAAAGTAGTACATTGTTTGCCTAGCATGCATGAAGCCTGGTGGTTTCCAGTACCACATAAAACTGAGTGGTGGTGGCCAATGCCTGTAATTCTAGCACTTGGGAAATGGAGTCAGAATATTCAGAAGTTCAAGATTATATTCAGCCAAGTAGTGGTGGTGCATACCTTTAGTCCAAGCATTCGGGTGGTAGGCACAGCCAGAACTCTGTGAGTTTCAGATTAGCAGGTGATTAGTGTCATCTTCAGTTACATAACAAGTTCAAGTCTATGTGAGACAATATCTCAAAAAAATACATAATTTTTCTATTCTATTTTGAAACTTGTAATTTCACATATAAGTACATAATTCACCTAATGGTAAATTATTAAGAATAACCTCTAAAAATTACTAGTTTGTCATATAAATTATATGTAAATTAACAACTAAATCAAAACTAAAACTATATTTACTTCTGATATCTATATAAAACATCTATAGCAAAATTTAAATTGAAATCCAAATCATTTAAGTCATTCCAATAATTTCCAAATTATTTCTTGATTTTTGAAATTTTTAGCATAATCTTTTGTTGGCTGTAGCTCTCAGTAGCTACAACTCAGTCTAAGCCTTAATTTAATTAAGGAAACCTCAACAAATTCTGGCAACCATTACTTCATTACATCAATAGGCAAGACCTCCCCAGTTCCCCAAGCTTGTTGCATTCACAAGGATAAATCAGTAAAATGTTTGAGCACTGTAACTAAGTATGTTCCTGGATGCCAGGGTCTAGGCCAAATACAAACAGACCCATGGCAATAATGTCACCAATACTACCTTCCTCACACCCTCATCAATTCAGGGTCACTCAAGAGCAGTGGGCAAACACTGCACTTCCATAACATTAATATACCACACCCACTCCATTTCAGTACTCTCAATACTTTGGAACCCACTACATCTACACTAACACAGCCATAGGCTATCACTCATTTCCCAGTGTTAAGTAACTCATGGTCTCATCAAGTAGAAATTTCATTCTATTCAGTAGTGCAGAGCATTTTAACATTTAAACAATATAACTTACAATACAAGCATCTATGAACTGAAAACGATCTCTATATTACTGATACAGAATCACAACACTATATTCACACATCTTTATAGCAAATGAAACTTTAAGCTGATCATATGCAAGATAACTTGGATGATTACCCAAAAGATACTCAATAAAAACATTTATACTTATAAGCTACTAGGACCTAGTAACATACCAATCTAAATTACAATCTACCCTTTAGAAAAGTCTACTTGATCTTTTTTAAAGGACAGCATATCACAATTTTAAAATGGAAAAGAGATGGACAGCTAGATGGCTCAGTGGAAAACAGTGCTTGCCACAGAGTCTAACAATCTGACTTCATTCCCTGGAACTCTCGTGGCTAAAGTAGAGAATCTACTTCTGCAGGGTATAGAAATTTCTTGGCTTACACTATGCCAAAAAGTGATTATTTCCAGATAGGAACATAAATCAATCTTGGATCCACATACCAGAGGCCCTCTAGGCAAGCACATCATTTCCCAGAAAACAATCATTTATCCTACTCTGGCTTCATCACCTACCTCTGGTTATTGCTATTGCCACCTACCAACACATACATGTGACCCCATCCCACTTGGGAGATAACTCTACAGGTGCAGGGACTCATTCCCTAGGGATATGTAAACATCTTCTCCCCCCTATAGAGAATCAGTGACAAACCAAAGTATGATTCCATCAAAGTACCTAGGGAACCCATGGGTTTGTTGAGGTTACTCACAGAGCATGAGCAGGGATTAATGACAGGAGTTTTGTGACCCAAAACTACCCCACCACCAAAAATCTCACCCCAGCACAGATGACATCACCATAGCTATATAAATGGAGTGCTTACCCCCTTCAGTAAACTTTCCACACTTTATACAGCCTAGCACCACCTAATACCTCTTGCAGTGAGGACAGATTTACATATAACTGGTCTGGAGATGCCAAAATCTCCTTCCCCTCCAATGAAGGAACATCACCAGTCAACAAGCTCCACCCATCTTAGGGATCTCTAGCAAGTAACACAGCTGCTCAGATGAAAACAATGGGTGTTATACTTGGAGAGGAGTACTCTACAATGACCCATACACCTACACTTAGACTCGCAGGCCTGCACCCTGACCAGTGCCTTTCCCCCTTTAGGACACTGACCTTGCTAACCCCTCCAAAATACTTACCACTGAATATTTGAGAAAGGAAGGATCAGAGCCCTTACAATCTGAGTGTACTCAAGAAATAGTTAAATAACTTTTTTAAGTCTGTTGTTACTTATTACCACATTGCTGTCTCATCATTCTCATGGGATTCAAATTGTCACAGTTTTCAGAGGCCTTTGAGAGAAGGGCTGAAATTCTCTTTTCATTTGTTGACATGAATTTACACCAAGAAACCTATTTGTTCCCTTTCAACATTTACTCAGGTCCTTAAATGTTGCCCCCCATACTCTGTCTGTTCTATAGTGTTTAAAGGACACTATGGAAATAAGCCAAATGATGGAAGTGTCTTTAAGATATCTAGAGGTATTAGGTAGAAGTAGGCCTTTAATCCCAGCACTCTCAAGGCAGATCAAAAGTATGAGGCTTTCCTGGAAAATTCAAAAAACAGACGATGCATTTGGAAGTTGGAAATATTAATACAATGAAATACTGGAAGTTGGAAATATTAATACAATGCTGCCATACCTGTATAACTACTTACCATTTGTGTGGTTTTGGGTAAGAAACAAATTGTGAGACTTAATTTTATTCTAAAAGTAATGACTCATCTAACTTATCAAAAGATTAAATAAGGTAGTATGTGTAGTTTTTAATCCATGAAATATTTGCATAAATACAGTTAATTGATATTATTTTTTTCTGTGTGGCCCAATCACACAATGTTTAAGACATGAGATACTTAGAGAATACCCATTACATGGGCGAATAACCAACAGTGCAATTTAAACTCAGAAACAATTAGAAAAAGTGTGGTAAACTTAATGACTGTCTAGTTCCCAGCAACCTTTAATCCATGTATCCACCCAGTCATTAAATAAATGCTTACTTCCAGGCTAGTTGCTCATGCCTACAATCCTAGTACTCAAGAAGGAAAGGCAACACATTCAAGATGAGCCTTGGCCACATAGTGAGTTCAAAGTCACTTAGCAGGAGCTACTTTGTGAGATCCTGTCTCAAAAGGCCAAGGCCTAGAGATTCAGCTCAGTAGTAGAGTATTTGTCTAGCATTCAAAAGGCCCTGAGTTCAATATCCAGCTCTACAATCCATCAATCAAAGGATACATAAATATTGGCTACAGGTTGTCTTCAAGTAACTCTTCCAAGAACTAATAAACATATAATAAAGTATAATACACACACACTTCCATTGTCATGGAAAGAAAGGAAAAGAAGCAACCAATTATTAGTTCTTCGTAGTGGTCAAAGTTATGATGCACAAGACAGAATAAGGATTAAAGAAAGTAGTCAAAGAAGATCTCTCTGGGGAGTGAGGGAGAAAGTCCTATTGATAAATGAATGAACATTCCAATGACTGAGACAAGCTTGGAGTGTTTGTGGTATTGTCTTGAACTCTGCTGGTTAGTCTGTGTCAGCTTGACACAAACAATAGTTATCTGGGAAGAGGAAACCTCAATTAAGGAATTGCCTCTATTAGATTGTCCTTTGGGCATTTCTGTGGAGCATTTTCTTGATCAATGATTGATATGGAGGACCCAGTCCACTGTAGGTAGTATCACCGCTTAGCAGGTTGTCCTGTGTTATATAAGAAAGCAAGTTCATTAAGAACATTACTTGATGGTGTCTGATCCAGGTCCTGCTTGAGTTCCTGAACTGACTTCCCTCAGTAATGAACTATTATCTGGAAGTCTAAGCCAAATGAACCCTTTCCTCACCAAGCTGCTTTTGGTCATGATGTTTATCACAACAACCAAAAGCAAACTAGAATACCCAATACTATGATGTGAGGACATAGCAAAAACCAGAAAGCCAGATTCATAGCTGATAAGATTACAGAGTAAAATCACCAAGTGCTCATCTCTCTTTTAATTTTAAATTGGGGGTGTGCCCATATGTTTGCTGAAATATTCACCTTTGCGTATGCTTGTAGATAGCAGAGGTAGAAAATACATGTCTTTTTCTATGGCTCTCCATCTTATTATTTTTTGAGACATTCTATGGCTGATCCTAGAGCTCACCAATTGGTTAGATAATCCCCTCCATATCAACCATCACCACCACCACAGACCGGCCCTGAGGTTTCCAAGACCAGCACCACCACCAACAACAACAACCACACCACCACCACTGCTGACTAGCACTGAGGTTACCACCACCACCACCACCACTGACCAGCACTGAGGTTACCACCACCACCATTGCTGACAAGCACTAAGGTTACAACCACTCCCACTGACATGTGTTCTTGGGATCCAAACTCAGGTCCTCATGCTTGTGTAGCAAGCACTTTACCCACTGAGCCATCTCCTTATCCCTAAATTTTCTTTTACTCTTTGCTTTATTCTATTGTAGTAAATGCTATTCTGAGGTTCAGGGGGAGGGGGAGTCCTACGACTCAACCATGGATATGGAACCACAGAAGTCACTGGGAAAGCCACTATCTGGGAAGTTTTGAAAGATAAAAGCTTAATGAAAGAGAAGTAAAGAATAAAAATTGACACAGATGATTATAGCAAAAGTGTCCACAATCTAGACAACTCTCTCAAGTCTGCTACAAAATGAAGGCAAATACAATGGAATTGGAGTTGTATGATCATGAGGAGTCAAGAAAGGATAGGCTCCATTCTGCTTGTATGCCAAAGATGAAAGTCTGGGAAAAGGGGGGGAATGACCAAACTTAGTGGTACTTGGCAGAAGTAAATCCATGAGAAGTGTTAAAAGAGAAAACTGAGCTAGTCTACATGGGTAAAATTGTTAGGAGGGAAGGAATGTTCCTTTTTAATATGAAGGAAAGAGAAAACTGTACAGAGTGTGTAGTAGATTTGGTGATAGGAAGGTATGGAAGCCTTCTGCTGGCTCATGTTTTGTGGAATTCTACCATCCAGGCATGACAGGGCCACTGCCCTCTTGAAATTATCTATGATTACCATAGATCCATTCTACTAGCATTCCTGCAGAACAGTAGTTTACTCTCTATTTTATGATCTTAAAATCATCTACTTAAGGTAAAATTTCAAATATACTTCTTACTGGCTTTTATAAACATCACTCAAGTTTTTTTCTAACCCGTAAATTAATACCTAATGATACCAGTTTTCTGATTGTTCTCACTGACCTGGAGTGGCTAGCACATACTACTATTGAATGATATCTACTTAAACCTAGGTAAAGTTGACCTCTGATAATAAATGCTCACATCATATATCAGAAAGCATTTTTTCATATATTTTAAGGTAAGAGTTATTTCTTACACATATAAATAATACATTGCTACAATTTGAGATTTCGATACAGACTTCCACAGAATGAAAGATAAGAATAAATCAATACACATTTGAAAATATTTTCTACAATTTTTTCATCTTTTTACATGGAAGGTCGGGTTCACTGCTTTGTTTTGTTTTCTGAAACAGGGTTTCACTGTGTATGTAGCCTTGGCTGTCCAGGAACTTACTATGTAGATCACGCTGACCTCAAACTCAAAGATCCACCTGCTTCTGCCTCCCAAAGGCTGGAATCAAAGGTGTGAGCCACCACCACCCAGCCAGTTTCATTTTTTAACATTTACCTATTTATTTGCATATGGGGGGCACTGCAAGCCACAGAGTGTGTGTAGAGTTCAGAAGACAACCAGAAGTCAATTCTCTCCTTCAAACATGTGGGTTACAGGGAGCACACTAAGGCCATTCCCTGGGCTGGTGGTTCTATAGAAAGCAAGTTAAGCAAACCATGTGGGACAAGCCAGTAAATAGCACCCCTCCATGGCCTCTGCATCAGCTCCTGCTTCCAGGTTCCTTTGAGTTTCCATCCTGACTTCCTTCATTGATGGACCATGGTGTGGAAGTTTAAGCTAAATGGACCCTTTCCTCCCCAAGTTGTTTCTGGTCATGGTGCTTCATCACAGCAATAGAAACCCTAAGACAACTGATATTAGGGCATTCCTAATAGTCTCAGGAGGTGGCAATTCCCTCCATGTCAAGGACATCTCATTTTTCCAGTGTCTTGGACTAAGTGCAGTTGTTTAAAAAAATACACACTAAAGCCATATTTGTCCGGTCACAACATTTAACAAGTTATACTGTGCCTTGTCTATCCTCACCTCCTCCACCAGACAAAACAACTCCAGATGCTGTCAAATTAGGAGTTGATTCATTTAGTTCATCTTGGTATCATCAATCTCAATACAAGGCCAAAAATGCTGAATCAATGAAAAGGTCCTGTAACTGGGAGAATGGAAATGAAGAACTCCTAGAAACCCCACTTACCTGTGAGATCCAGAGTTCGGTCCACAAAGACCACGGAAGCCCTGCCTGTAGCGGTCTTCCTCCTGTTCTTGGCAGGGGCATAATTTGCCAGATCTGTAGCAATAACCCGACTGAGGGCACCCACAGCGAAACATTCCTCTCGCACCCCTAGATGCTCACACAGAGAACTGAGGCCTGACACCAGGCATCTAATGTGCAACAGCAGCTCTGGGGTCAGGGAAGTGGCATCCACTTCACTCAAGTTGATCAGCCTCCTCTTGTCGGGTCTGGCACTATTAAGGAGATGTACATCCCGAGGCAGCAGAGGGAAAAGGGTAGCAAAGGCAGGAGTAAAGGCAAGGTGGGGAGCAGCAGGGGCGAGGAGCAAAGGGACGTGCAGCACCTCGGCCGTGTAGTTCACGTTGCCCATCCACTCACATAGCTTCTCCTCCAACTGTTCGAACACAGGCTGCTGCCCCTCTAGCTCAGCCGCTGCGGCTGCTGGTACATGGTTAGCAGTGAGGTGGACTGCGTGGCTCACGGCTGTGACCACCACACAGTACTGAAAGTGACTGCGCCGAATGATGTCTTGGAGCGTGTCTACAGTCCGGCCTTTCAGCAGGCAGCTCAACACGAACACCGCCCGGGGCTGCTGGGCTCCACCGCCAATTGCCTGGGGCTCAAATTCCCTCAGGTTGCAGGCAGGGCCCTTCACCGCCTCCAGCAGCCGGCTTGATCCGCAGCTCCAGTGCAGGCTCTCTGCGCAGGCGGCGTCCAGGTAGACCACCGACCATTTCACTTTGGCCAGGACCTGCTCCCAGCCTTGCTGGGCGAAAGACAGGACGCCCGCGGAGCTCATGGTTGGAGACTCGCCAGCGGGCCAGGGGTGGCGGAGAGAACTTCAGTCAGAACTCAGAGCTTCCGGATACAGAGTGCCTTGAGACTTTGACAGTCAACACAGTACACGTGGGCCAGTCGCTGACGCTCCAAGTGCGCGCGCGGTGATGACGTTTAAGGCTCTGATTGGCTGCCCAAGCGCGCGAGCTATTGGGGGGAACCGCTATGCTGGAAGTGGGTATTCGCTGTGCTTAGAGGTTCTGTTGTCCTGAAAAGCTGGGGCAGGGTGCTTTCTAAGAAGGAATTGAAATGGGTTATGTTTGTCCCTCTCTGTCAGCTCACGTCTCCTTTTCCTCCCAGTTAAGGATTCTCAGGAATAATAAGACATAGCCTAAAGTTTACTATCTTGAGCACGGGCATTTCCCCCAACTCAACTTTGAGCAGATTAAACAGGAATAATTACTGCTACATCGTAGTTTGTCGTGCGTAAATTATCTTCTACATTATTGCACACAACCCTCGTGAAATACCTACTGACACCAGCAAGAAGGCTCAGCGGGTAACAGCTCCCGCTACACAAGCCGGACGACCTGAGTTCGATTCATGGGACTCAATATAGAAAAAAAAGAGAAACTGAAGAACGTGGCGTTGACAGTTCTTACCCTCTTCCTTGCTAAACCGTTAGATTATATTCCTAAAGCTAGCCACCAAGGTCTATTCTGTTATTTGGCCACTTCCTGATGCCTGACTAAGACTCCAAGGTCCAGCAATCAAAATTCATTTTTGATTACACTGACTAACGTGTCGCCAACTCATCCTAACACAGATGTCTCCTTTTTCTATTTAAAAACCACTTCTCCAGAAAAAAGGCCTGTTGCTGTTTTTGCCCCATCCAGAGCACCCCCCTCCCACAGAAGGAGGGTAACAAAATCTATGTGCTGAGACTTTGGTGTCTGGTTATGTTCTGTACTGTCCTTTCAGAAACCACTCAAGGAAAGTTGTCTTCCTCAGATCTGCACATGCTCACTATGGCAAGGGCATTATCCCCCACCCTCAACACAACACATACACAATGAAAATTTTCTCTTTTTTCAATCTTTCCTCCTACATTTAAATCTTGATCTGCTTTAAAACTTCTACTTTCTAGTTCTTCATCCTTGCTATCCCCCAGCTAACATCATCACTCATCTGTACAGCAACATTCCCCCAACATTTCTGTTTGCTGAGCTTCAAGATCCAATATTCAGTTGAACCATTTACTAAAAGTGCTTGTCACATCACTGAGCTAAAGTTCTAACATAGTTGTTTTTCTTAACGTATTTATCACTAGGATATATACTAGAGGACTGGAATACCCCAACCTGAAGTTTCATAGGTGAGATGTATAATTACAAGTTCTCAGAAGAAACATGAACAAGGATCTAGAAAAAGAAACACAGACAAGACTAGGGCAAGTCTTTACTTTCTCTTATAAGTAGTGGGAACTTTTACTTTGGTTTTAGGAGTAAGAATAATTTGTTTGCCTGTAGGTTTTTTGAAAAAGCGTTCCAGATTATTGTGTGGAAAACTAATTTGAAATGTTACACACCCACAATCAAAGGCTTTTTGGTTCATTTTACAAATACTGAGATTTAGCAAACTGAAAGAGAATAAGGTTGAGGAATCTGGGACCTGTTTTTATTTAATTGTGGAAGTATGCATAAGATAATTAACTAGCCTGGCAGTGGTGGTGCATTCCTTTAATCCCAGCACTTGGAAGGCCAAAGCAGGCAGATCTCTGTGAGTTCCAGGCCAGCCTGGTCTACAGAGTGAGTTCCAGGACAGCCAGGAGTATTTCGAAGAGAAACCCTGTCTTGAAAAACAAAAAAGTGTGTGTGTGTGTGTGTGCGCGTGCGCGCGCGCGCCTGCTCTAGCATGAGTACAGTCGCCCTCAGAGCCAACACGCGCGCGCGCGCGCGCCTGCTCTAGCATGAGTACAGTCGCCCTCAGAGCCAACAGCTTTGAATCCCCTAGAGTTGTAATTATAAGGGGTTGTGAGTCACCAAATTCGGTTGCTAAGACCTGAACTTGGGTCTACAGCAAGTGCATCAAAAGCTCTACATCACTGAGACATCTCTCCAGCCCCAGTTTTTGTTTGTAGTTTTCATTCTATGCTAAATAATATTTTGTAGTATGCACAGAGTACATTGTGTTTATTCATTCATCCACCAATGGACATTTGAGCTTTGTCACTCTGGGGCCTTTATGAATAATGCTGCTCTAGACATAGGTGCACAGATATCTTACAGATTTTGCTTTCCATCCTTTTTATTGAAATTTCTGAGTCATATAGTAAGTACTTTTAGGTTTTCTGAGGAACCTATGTTCTTCACAGTAAGTGTAACATTTATATTCCCACTGGCAATGCACAAGGGTTCTAGTTTTTCTACATCTTTTTGAATATTTTATATATTCTCCTTCAAGTAGCCATCTAACGTGTGAAGATGTATATTGTTGTAAAAATACTTGGAGATATACAGTTAGAAATGACTACAGGGTCTACAGCCTTACCAACCTGAATATGCTGGATCTGGTCTGATCTCCGAAGCTAAGCAGTGTTGGGCCTGGTTAGTACTTGGATGGGAGAAATGACTACCAGGTTGCTGGATATATGATTCTATCTTGCAGGAGACAAGTCTGGTAATTTGACAATCATTAGCATAGCTGTACTGAGGCTGTTTTACAAGAGTATGGGAATTTAGAAGATAAGGATATGATGAAGAAAATTCTGAGTAACCTTAAGGGAAGGATTCAGAAGAGAAGCCAGTGTTTGAAGTCACAAGGGATGTACACTTCAAGAACAGAGTGGCCAATGATGAACAGTGCCAGAGAAGGGGAATACCAATTAAGAGGAATGTGCAAAGAATCTATGGATTTGAACCTGTGCAAGAAGACAGGGCAGGCAAGACAGATGGATTAGCAGATTGAGTGCAGGGGAGCTAAGAACCCTAGGAACTATCTCCATGATGTTGAAGAAAATAAGGTGTTAAAGGAATGAGGAAGGAAGTTGGACAAGTGTAAGGTTAAAGTCAAAGAAAGTACTGGGCCTCTACTTTTCCTGGGGAACAATTGCAGAATTTAATAAAATCCATGGGTAGCCTTGAAAAGAAAGTACTGGGCCTCTGCTTTTCCTGGTCAACAATTTTCAGAATTTAATAAAATCCATTGGAGAGTCTTGGCTGTAGACTGCTGGAGTGAAGTAAATGGTGATGATGGTTAAGTAGATTTCAGAATGTAAAAAAGAACACAAAACAAGTAGGATATGCAAGTCATTCATTGTATGCTGAGTGATGGGGAGGAGATGACTTCATCCCATATTCAATCCTGACATCATCTGTGAACGTGAGGAAGTGAAAAAGCAGTGCAGAGTGGTTAAGGTGAGTGGTAAGAACTAGGAAGAGGAGAATTTTCACAGGGACCTGAAACCACAATGTTCTGATGGTAGTCTATGAGGGCCAAATGAGTGACAATGTTATCTCCAGACTCCACAGATAGCTCTTCTTATGAGGACAGTAATCTCCGTTCCATTTAGAAGTACCTCATTCTTTCCTAAGTGCCATTCTTTAAATACCATAACATAGTAAATGTAAGATTTCAGCATATTAATTGGGGCATAGCCAGTCCATAGCAGTAATATGGGGAAACAACATATTTTAAAACTCTAAAATATATGCAGTATAAATCCTGAGTGGTCCATGCTATACATGTAAAGTAGACCATGAGTAAGGAAGCTTAGATTTCTGTTTACATTAAGAAACTGCCATTGAAATGTTGTGTGTGACTTGAATTGTTATGTGGCAGTGGGGATAGAAAAGAGTGGGCAGATTTGGGGTACATTTTGTAGGAAGTACTAACAGATGTTGGTAATGGATTTTTAGAGGAATAAGAGGCATAGTTGAGAGGAAATGGAGAATCAGCGGTTTGAGGGTTTTGAGCTGATAATATTGTTTGGATGTGGTTATGAAAAAGAAGATGCATACAAACCTGGGAAAGTGTAAGAAGGGACAGAACAAGTTTGAAAAGATAATTTATAAGTAGAAATACAGCCCTTTCTTTCAGATGTTATGGTATAGAAAATGGAGTTCTTATTTTTAAAAAAAAAATGAGATCTTTAAAACTTAAGAGCACCGACTGCTCTTCCAGAGGACGCTGGTTCAACTCCCAATACCCATATGGCAGCTCACAAGTGCCTGTAACTCTAATTTCAGGGGACCTGAAACTCCCTGTGGCAAGAACATTAAATCACATTTTAAAAAGAAAAAAAAAAGACCATCACATATACCTTTCTTAGGCTGTAATGTGTATTTTTCTACAGAAATAGTCATTATGTTTCATTCCTTGTAAAATCATGTCTACATCCTTTATAGGTGTGGTCAGTGCTTAAGTAAACACTGAGGGTGTTCCATACAGTGACATTATGAGATAGAATCTGGAGAATTTAAAGACAAGAATGCTTTGTTCTTGTCATTCAAAGCTATAAGAACTCCACACAGCAGCAGAGAAATGAACAGGAGATGATGAAATGTTCCAGAGATGAATAACAATCTAAAACTTCTTGTCAAAAGATGCCAAGATAGAGAGTAGGACCCTAACTAGAGCTTAATTCTTCAGACCAATGTCTTAAAAAGGAAACTTCTCCATGGGCACAGTTACTCTGGCATGTCAAAGGAGAAAAGGTTGCATGTATAGAAGGACACCAGCTGGCCTCTATTTAGTCAAATGTTTTCTTATCCATTTTCCATGCAGGTGTATCATGCATGCGCATATACAGGTATGTGGGTGCACACATATGTCCAGATGTATGTGTGTGTATGTGTGTGCATATTCATGTGGAGGCCAGAGGTCCATGTTGGGAATCATCCTGAATTGTTCTTCATTATTCTGAAGTGTTCTTAATTATTCATTGATTTAGGGTCTCTCAATCAATCCCTGAACTTGACAGTATGGCTAGTCTTACTAGCAATCTTGTTCTGGGGACCCCCCACCTTAGGCTAGAATTACATGTGGGTTGACAGGATCATCCAGCATTTATGTGGGTTCTCGGCATCTGAACTCTAGCCTTTACACTTACATGGCAATTACTATAACCACTGAGCCATTTCCCCAACCCCTAGTCAAATGTTTTCATGTTTGAAACCTCCATTTTATCTGCTACCCTTTCAACAGTGGATATAAAAAAACATTAATCAATGTATGGATTTACTGATGTGTAAATTAAAGAACATTAAGATCTTATGTAAGTGACATATCATATATTAGCAACAAACAGTGGCATAGAGCCTAAGCAATCTAACCATTTCAGAAACCTTTATGTACATGGTATTTTCACATACTAGTTACTGAACCTGATATTTTAAATTAGATTTTAACTCTTGGCATCATCTTGTTTGTTTGTTTGTTTGTTTTGAGATGGGGTTCTTTCTCTACATAGCCCTGACTGTCCTGAAATCTGCCTTTGCCTCCTGATTGCTGGTTTTAAAGGCATATGCTACCATACCTGGCCTCTTGGCATCATCTTAGTGGTAATTAGTTGTCTAATCATTATAATTATGCACTCCACTTCAGTACTTCTCAAGAGTCTGTATCGTATCAAAATATACCATTATTATTGGCATCATTTTGAGATGGAGTCTTACTATGCTGCCCATGCCGATAACTTGTGAGCTTGAGTGAACCTCTAGAATACCCGGGAGGTCAAGTGTGTACTACCAGGCTTGGTTTACTATTATTATCATTGTGATTATTGTTGCTAAGAATAAATCACAATAAATAATGAAGTGGAAACAAATACACTCAGGATAAGTGTAATATTGTAGTGTGGTGAGGTAATAACATAGGAAGTGAGAGGCAGTCTACAAAATAGTCAAATTGTTTATACTCAAGTTTCCCATTGCAAATGGAGAGATAATGACTCCTTAACCACAGTCATATGGTTGAGCATACCCACACAAGGAATTCTGTTTGGGAGGGGAAGGGAAAAGGCCTGTTAAGGATGGTTATTAATGATTTATGGGCTTCTCTGCTTGTAGAAATTATTTCAGAGCTTAGCTTAAGCACTACCTCCACTACACAGGCAATACTAATGCATCCATCACCATTCATAAATACTTTGGTTTAGTCTAAATGATGCTCTGAAAGGCAAACTCCTTGTAGACTGGAAGGAAAACAGTCTGCCCTGCAAAAAGATGACCGACTCTCTCATGAAACCAAATTTTATTTTAAGCGCACAAAACAATGAAAATAGAGACAACCACAGTGGCTGCCTGTGGTACTATCAAGCAGATAGCAAGCCTTCTTTTATTTCTTTTATCAAAGGCCAAAAACATATTGTGCACTATGTAACAGATGGAAGTGAAAGATAAAATGAAGGCAGATTTGGCCCAGTGAAGATTCAGGGGGAAATTGGCTATGGGGTCAAAAAACTGACACATAATATAAGACACATGTCTTAGAAGCAGCATGTGCTCTAAAGAAATTATTAGCTCTACTCTACCCGCCTCACTCCCAATCCTGCTGGTCTCATCTGTTTGCTTAGCTCCTCTACATCCAGCCCCTCACTCTAAGCGCAGCTGGGTGCCTAGAACTCTTCTGTCTCTGGGCCTTTGTATCTTCCTAATATCCCTGTCAAGTAGTTCCTTCCCAGGAATCCAAGGGGCTTACTGCATCTCCCCATGCAGGTGTCTACTTTTTTGACCTCATCTTACTGCCGTTCCTGTACCACTTAATGCAGGATTACACCTCCTCCCTTTTAATCACTTTGCTCTGAGCCTCCTTACAGCTATTGTTATTCTTAATCCTTATCAACATGGTGTATTTCTGAGTTCTGTGCTTTACAATTCCGTTAGAATACAGGCTTCACGAAAGGAAAGATTTTTCACTGCCCAATTTATATAGCCTCAAAGAGTTCCTGACACTTGGGCAGACTTTCATGCATATTTGTTGAATTCAGAAAGATTTTACAGAGGAGATGGTACTTAGAAGTTAAAAACGATACAAGAATTTCTGACGGGGAACGTTGCATAGCAGACTACAGTGAATTCAAAGCTAAGAACAATTAAAACCCACAAGATCTATTCAGGTAATGTGAAACTACAAGACATTGATAGGGCATAAAGCTGGCCCCTCCCCCATCAACCACTAATTAAGAAAATAACCTGCAGGTTTTGTAAGGAAAAAGGGCCAGCCAAAGAAACACACCCTGAGCAGAGCCAAAGAAACACACTTTGGCCCTGCAACCAGAACCAGTGAAAGAAATACACCCTGGCCCTAAAAATTAGAGCCAAAAGGCTAAAAACGACCAGTGATAGAAACACACTTTGGCCCTGACACCAGAGCCAAATCTGACCTTAAACCTGTGCAGAAAACCAACCGAGCAGAAGATCTAGTCATTCTGAGTTCAGGGATTGAAATCTGACCAATCCCCACCCTGGAAATCTCCCTGGTAAAACTCCACCGGCTAAGAATCCCTATATAAACCCTGAGTCTGTTCTGCTTGTGGTTGTTTGAGCTGCTCTCCTGGATTCTCTCTTTCCAGTAAATCTCTTGAATGAGTTTTGGGTGAGACCTTCCTTCAAAGACCACCCCAAGCAGAGCCCGGCTATAACATT